GTGAGCACGACAGAGACCAAAACAATTCAGTTTCATGAAGTCTTGCCACCTTCATTTTTTTTCCACTTTCCTTTACTCTGAAGTCATTATACAAGAACTCTCGTGAAGGCTATAAAACTACAAGAGGTTTGATAGGGATGTGTATATTCTTTTTTATGTCCTAACTGGGAAATTTCCCACTATACATATAAGAAGCTAAAAATGCTGAAGTTTATGTTTTAGGTTGTACACCAGTGTGAGGCAAGGAGTTGAAGTAAAGCATCTTCTTGCCATGGTAATACATTAATACATCTGATAGTGTTTGTTTATCATGTGTGTTGAGTTTAAAGAAACCATTCCTTTTACAGATTTAATAAGCTTTGTTTGTCATCTTTTAAATGTTAACTGTCATTAATTTGCTGACTAAACATGGTAACAAAGTTGAAACTGGCTATTTGGAAATAGCTAGGAATAAGGGTTTGCTTGAATTAGGGACTCTTTGTGACTACAGTGCTTATATGATAACTACTGATACTAACATACAATTCTCAACACTTCTCAACACATTCTCTCTTATTGATTAAAACTTACATTAAGTTTAAACCATGTGTTGTGCATAAGGCTAATAAATAAAGAAAAAGTATGAGAGAATATATTTATTGTAACGACGGTTAGAAAACTTACAAATGAATGATACAAATGATTGTTACTACTAGTCTATTTATACAAAAAATAAACTGCCACGTAGGCTCTAATAAAAGTAAACTTAATGACTAAATTAAAAGATACAAACTAGGAATACTAAACTTAACAGCTACGCTAACAAACTCAGTTCCAGAACCCCAGAAGCTAAGCATACTTCTGGGCGTAACCTCAGAAGCTTTTGCTCTTGAACAATACTGCTTCTGAGTAACAACATCAGAAGCTTCTGGTTCTAATCAACAACTTCTGAATATGAATTACTTCCAACACCATCCCTTAATTCATATTCAGCTATCCAAAAAACTTCAACACCAATTCCATCCCTCAAACAGATAAAGTGTTCAGTCTTGACATCTTTCGTCAGAACATCTGCAAGTTGCTTCTGGTTGCTACAATATGCAACTCCATTCAGAAATGCAGATCTCACCTTGAAGACCCATCTGACGTTGATGTTTTTCTTCTCCTTCGGAAGTTCAGTTAACTCCCAAGTCTTGTTTCTTTCAATAGCATCAAGTTCTTCTTTCATAGCCTTCAGACATACTTTCTTCTTGAGAGCTTCACAGGTTGACAACGCAACCACCAGTTGCTTCTTGAAACACCAAGAAATGGGACTTCCAAAATATTTGAGAAAATATCCAGATGTATTTCTTCTGTCAACTCTATCTTCATACCAATCAGAGTCTGAATAGCATATCGGCTCTGATTTTGATCTAACATCAGAATAGAATGATACTCCATACCTCAGAGTCCCTTCAGTATCTTGCAGCTTGTCAAACTCTACAAACCTTCTTGGTATATTTCTGACTCTATGTGGCCTCTGAACTTGTTCAAAATCTTCTTCTGATTCTGGAATTATATCTCATTCTGGACTTTCTTCAGAAGTTTGACTACCACCAGAAACTCCACCTTTGTTAGCTTATGGACCTCGTTCAGAACCACTACCTTCAGAAATACCATCTTCAAAAGTTGGATCATCTTTAGAAGCTGCCTTCAGAAGTTCCACTTCCAGAATCATGATCACAATCAAAGGCTGGTTATCTTTAGAAGCTGCCTTCAGAAGTTCCACTTCCAGAATCATGATCACAATCAAAGGCTGGTTATCTTTAGAAGCTCCTCCTTCAGAAGGTCCACCTTCAGAGACATGATTTCCACCAGAAACATGATCATCTTCAGAAGCTTGTCCTCCAGAATCTACGTCTTCAGAGTTTTCCCTTCTAAAAGCATGACCACCACCAGATGCAAAATCTGGATCAGAATCAGATTCACCATCTGACTCATCTTTAGAGTCTCCAGAAGATTCTTCATCCTCTGACTCTGACTCACCTTCAGAACTTTCAAGTTCTGACTCATCTTCAAAAGCAGAATCTCCTTCAGATTCTGACTCATCTTCTGATTCTTCTTCAGACTCAGAATCACCTTCGAATTCTGACTTGTCTTCAACTTCAAAGTCATCTTCTGACTCTGACTCATTTTCAGGAACCTTAGATTCTGACTCATCTTCAGAATCTTTAGCGTCATCTTTTGATTCTGACTCATATCAAAATACTCCTTCAGAGTCAGAATATTCAGAGTCATCTTCTTCCCCTTTAGAATAAAAAAATGACAATCTCACAGGTTCCTCATCAAATTCATAAGTCATTAATAGCACTGGTTTATCATCTGAATCTCCTCTGGTGATTTTTGTTTCTTCTTTGTTTGACCAACAATCTTTAACAAAGTGGTCAAACGTGTTACAACAGTAACACTGAACCATTCTCTTGTCATACTTCTCCTTTGCCTTCTGATGTTTTTTTTCATCAGAATAGAAGACTTCTAACTTCTGAGACCTACCATATTTTCTCTGCTTCTGGTCCTTCTTGACAAAAGAAGCTTTCAGAGTCTGGTCAACTTCCCTCTCAGAAGTTCTTTCAGTCAGATGCAATTCTTGCGTCTCTAGACTGCTTTGCAGTTCTTCTATTCTCATGGTGTCCAGATCTTTAGAATGTTCAATTGCTATAACAATGTAATAAAATTGAGGAGTAAGTGACCTTAATATCTTCTCTATGATTACTTGTTCAAAAAGGGTTTCTCCACAAGCTTTCATCTCATTAGTGATCAGAATCACTCTAGAGATGTACTCAGAAATCTTCTCGTTGTCCTTCATGTTGAGATTCTCATACTGCTTTCTGAGAGACTGAAGCTTCACTTCTTCACTGATGCGTCACCACCGTAACACCTACTCAGTGTGTCCCACGCAGCCTTCGCCGTCGTCGAATCAGTAATTTCTCAAACACGTTCTCATTCACACACTGATGGATGAAGAACAACGTCTTCTGATCTTTCTTCCTTGTATCTCTCTGCGCATTTCTCTGTTCCTCTGTCGCATCTGCTGCAACTGGAACATAACAATTTGTAACAAGCTCAAGAACATCCTGACCGCCAAACAACACACGCATCTGAATCATCTAATGATTCTAGTTTTTGCCATTAAATACTAGAAACTTGGTGCTTAGACTACCATTTCCGGTCATCTTCAACCTTGTACAGAACACTCAGATCTCACAAACACAGTGTTTCCCAATCCCATAGAATCAGAAAAATGTGATTTTGTTCAAGATTCAACACGAATTCAAGAACCAAAATCAATCACACAACGCCTCACCGTTTCACTTGTGTTTTCCGTGAATCCAACCGGAGCTCCGATTACCAATTTGTTGGTGCACAAGGTTAATAAATGAAGAAAAAGTATGAGAGAATATATTTACTGCAATGACGGCTAGAAAACTTACAAAAGAATGATGCAAATGATTGCTACTACTAGTTTATTTATACAAAAATTACACTGCCACGGAGGCCTTAATAAAAGTAAACTTAATGACCAAGTTAAAAGGTACAAACTAAGAAATACTAAACTTAACAGCTACACTAACAAACTCAGCCCCAGAACCCCAGAAGTTAAGCATACTTCTGAGCGTAACCTCATAAGCTTCTGCTTCTGAACAATACCGCTTCTAAGTAACAACATCAGAAACTTCTGATTCTAATCAACAACTTCTAAATATAAATTACTTCTAACACCATGTACTCCACATAAATTTGAGGTGACTCATGAAAAGGGTGATTTGCTAGCATACTTTGATTTGTTGCAAACCATTGTCTGTTTGATGAGTTTGGAAAGCCTCAAGCAAATTCGACCCAAATCCAACTTTTGGAATTAAGTATTTCTCTTACTCGAGTCAAACTTAAACCAAAGTTGGGTTTGATTTGGTTTATTAGGTCTATTTGGTAGACTTAGTATTTCTGTTATTTGAGTCGAAAATGTTGGGTTTGGTTTGGATTCTTAGTTTCAGATATTCAACTTGATTTTGTTTCAACTATTGGATACATTTTATATAATCTCGCACTAAAAATGAAATCTTCTCAAGAAAAAGTGTAAAATAATTTACATGTCTCAAACTTAATAACTTTGATAAATAAAAAATTCTACCCAAACAACCTATCTGCTGAATAAATGATTTTTGGTGTAGGAAAAACTCTCCAAATGCTCATTCATAACTTATCCAAGCAAAGCAATTAAAATTCCCAACCAAAAGCCACAAGAATCTTTTAAGTAGTTAGAAACTCCATAAAAAAAAAAAAAACTCTAGTTATAATTTTAGAATTTTCTAAGCCCAAAACCGAACTCGTTTTTCTTGGAAACATATTTGGAAAACATGCTTTTGTTATGTATTTAGAATTCACAACAAAAGTTACAAAATACAGTTTATTGTTCAAAGTATAGTGTATAGTTCTTTAAACACAAAAGCTAATGCATACGCATACTTTAGATTATCCATATATATTAGAATTAGGAGAGGTTGCGGGTGTAATCATGTTGAGCATAGAGTAGCAAAGTGTTTGAAACCATGAAATATTTTAGATCTCTGCATTTTTGCTTATAACAACTACATGGTTTATCCCCTATATGAGGTTTCTATTGTAGATCATATCAACCCTAGACACACCCAAATTCTATTGCCAAAATAAAACAACAAATGAACTAGTGAATACCAAGCTTGATCCATAAAATTGAAGCCCTTATACAATTTGGTCCCTAAAATGACCGAAATTCTAAAATGATATTCAAATTTATTATTTTTAATCACATTAGTCATATTGGATCTGTTTATTTGTTTCTTGATATCATCTCCAAAGACTAATGTGATTCAAGATTTTCAATTTTAAAATTCACTGAAAAATTCAGTAAGGAACTAAAATGTTTGACACTTATAATTTTTTTTGTCTAAACTAGCGATTCAATAAAAAAAATGAACATTAGAGAAATTCAACGGCCTAAAAAACTAAGCTTTCTCTGATACTGAAGATGATTGCTTTGTACTTTCCTCCTTAATGATCTCCTCAGTAATGACATTGGAGGAACGAAGAAGAGGAGGAGGAAGCGCTACGGGAACAGAAGACCATCTTGGAGGATGTGAAATAGATGTTTCGATTGATGGTAGGCACGGAGGAGAGAAACCCAAACTAGGTCCATAACTGATACCATCAACACTTAGTGATTTTGCCATTTGTCTTCTGTACACAGCGGCCGGCTCGTGCAGTGGGAACCAACAAGGGTACTGCATATCTAGTAAGATTTTGAGATTCTCAACAATGACTCTCATGGATGGTCTTTCTGATGCTTCCTTTTGGAGGCATCTTTGCGCAATGTCAGCTACTATTCTTGCTGCTTTGGGTGGAAACCGACCTTCAAGTTGAGAATCCATGATCACAAATAAGTTGTCGGTTAAGAAAGGTTGACACCATCTGACTAAGTTCCTCTCTCTCTTGGGGAGATTCATGTCAAAATTCTTTCTTCCTGTGAGTAGCTCCAGAAGAACAATTCCAAAACCCCATACATTGCTCTTTGGAGTAAGCTTTCCTCTTCTCCATGTCTCCACAGAAAGATTTCCAGCCGCCTGTATACATAAAAAGAATGAACGAACAAAACTAAAAGAGCGCAGCTAAGTGCAAGAGTCTCCCACCAGACGAGGTCTAGGGATGGAAAGGTAGATGAATGCAGTGTTACTGTTACTGTTACCCCCACACGCGACCTTTAGGTAAGAGTCACAAGGCTACAACCTTATCATTGCACCAAGTTCGACTTAGAATGAGGACAGAACAATTGGAACAAACAGATATACAAAGTGAATGTTCTATACCAGCACACACAATGCACTTATGCGCGAGTCTAAGAACTTACAGCTGAACTTCTTGAAAATGCATCCTCTACAATATGTCCAACAAAACCATATCCCGAAAGCTTTGCATTGAAATCTATATCAATCTGTATATTCACGGCTGAAAAATCATTATACATTGCCTGCAAGAGATTCAAAGGTGTATCGTGAAGATAGAAACATATTAAACATAAGATTTGAAATCTAATGTACTATAAAAACATTAAAGTAATATCTACTCGTGCTATATTTTTTCAATCTATATCAATAAATACACAATAACTCATCTCCCAATCGCAATCACTTAATAAGATCTAAAGGCCGCGTACAAAGAGAATGTTTATCACCTTAGAAGGCCCTTCATCATGCAAGAAAGTAAGACCTTGTGCAGCAGAGAAGGCGATTTTCATTCTTGTGTTCCAATCAATCGAAGGGCCGTCAGGTCTCCTGAACAACAGGTTGTCCAAGCTCCCATTGCTTAGCCTCTCGTAAACCAACATTCTTGTTTCAGAGGTATCGCATGCATAAAATCCGAGCAATTTACAGATGTTCGGATGTTGCATTTTTGCAAGACTACTAACCTCATTCATGAATTCTCTCAAGCCCTAGAAGAAGGAATGACATACATATAGACCGTGTCAGAGGCGAAAAATGTAAACCTTTTCTGTAAAAGATTCTAAACCTTTAAAGTCAAAGTTAATCATAATTCATACTTATATTTGAACATTTTTTGCTGGAATAGAAAACAATTTCAGTTCTCAGTTTCGAAATGGTTTGAAAACATTCAAAAATATATGAAGATTGGAAAGTAATGTAGCAAGAAGAAAAGTACCTGAGTTGATGGGTGAAGGCGCGTGACAGTGGCTTTAAGCTTCTTACACGAAGCTTCATGAAAAAAGGAAGCTTTATATACGGTGGAAGAAAAACATTCTGCCAAGCATCTATCCGAACGGAAATTGTGACAAGCAGCGACAATTTCCTCGTACAGAAAGAAACGAACCGAATCAGAAACTGCTCCTGACTTATAGCTGCTAGTAGCCTTCGATGGAAATCTTCCTTTAGGCGGTAAAGGTAGTGGTCTAGCTAGATGCTGTTTCTTCATAGATCTGTCTCGGTTTTTAGACCATTCTCGCGCATCATACTGAAATGTTTCAAAACCATCTTGTTCTGCTGTATCAATACCTGAGCCAGAAGCATAGAAAGGATCACTAGTCATCCTTAACTTCAATGGACCCCTACTTCGAGGAGATGGAAGAGGTAAGGGTAGTGGACTAGGTACTGGACTAGGTACACGAGGCTCCTTCATTAATCTCGCTAGAGTTTTCGACATTTCTTGTTCCTCTTGCTCAATTGAGGCCAGCGCTTCTTGTTCTGCAGCTTCAAGAGCTGATGGAGCGGATAAAGCTCTTGTTCTGTTGTAGGTAACTCGGTTAATCGGGTTAGCAGATTTCACGCTAGACTTAGGATTTTGAGGATTGAAGTGTAATGAGCGAGAAGCTTGAAGTTGAGGCATTGCTGTAGATACCTTCTCATTACGACTTCCGATTTGTGATTTGGACCTTTCATACTTCTTCTTCATGTTCTTGATGACAGTTAAACATCCCATTTTCTATGCAGAATTCGGTACCAGAACTGTTTAATTGCTGCACAAATAAAAAAATGGCATAATCAAACTCAGTGTGGACTTTATAGCATATCGAAGATTTCTGTGTAAAACTCGTAATATATTACGAGTTTTACACTGAAATGTTAGGACAAATTTCACAACAAAATATAGAAAACAAACATGTAAATGTATAAGTGGTAATGAACCAATGGAGTCACTAGCTCTATACACCATAATCTATGAATCACTTGGAATACATTAACATTGATTTCGGCGACATTGATATTAATTAAAAAAACATAATTACATGTAATTAAAAAAAATTACATGTAATTAAAAAAAATTACATGTATCGGTGTCAGATAATTACGTCTTTATGGTGTCTATGCTACAAAAATCACAATTCATCTCATAAGGACACGATCATGATTTTTCATCAATTGCATAAAATGTTATTTATATCTATTATATCAAAGAAATGATACAAAACTTCAAGTGAATTTACCATATTCTTTTACTTCATCCTCATCACAAATCGTAAATAATAAATAAAAAAAAACAGAAAAATGCCAACTTTTAAGATAAAGAAAAACAGTAAACTGGCAAATGAATCAAACTACAATGAAGCACAATGTATTAAGTTTTTAAATTAAAAACAATAATCAAACTCACCAATAAATTTTGCAACATAAAAGATGATAAAAAAATCGAAGAATAAAAAACAAAGAAAGAGACTTATACACACCTATAAAGAAATCAGATATCAGCTCCTCATTCAACTCAAGAATGAAAAATATTATTTCAAGTATTTACGTATTTATAAAGTCAAAGAAAGTAGAATAAAAAAAGGTGTCATTAGGGGGAGGAATATTTTCATTTTTATGATAAAGAGGAAAAAGTTCACATTTGGAAACATGAAAATTACAGAGAAATACTTGAAATATGCTTCAAATGGTAAGTAAAAAATCAATGTGCAGAAAAATCAAAATCACATAATATTTTTATTTTTTTGTCATTAATGAATTATTATTAATAGAATCTGAAACATAGACACAAATGGTAGCTACACGAACACTTTTTTACTTTTTCAACTTTTCTAATTATATCCCTAAACATATTGTAATGACCAGAAATATATCTTTTTGGTTCTTCTCAAAGTCGTGGTTTGAATTTTGACCTGTAAAATTTCTTCTGGCTTATCAGAAAATTTTGACCCTTGTTTGAATGTGATCAAAAATAGACAAGTTTTTGAATATGGTTTGAATTGATACTCTTTTATACTAGCAAGTTCATGGGTATAAGTTGAAATAGGTAAAGTAAAATACACATAAAATAAATATGAATTTAATTAGAATGCATTGACTTAAGTTAATTATGACTATTAAATTTTTTATTATTATTTGATTTTTATCTTAACATTTATTAAAAGTTTGTATGTATTGTGTTAAAAAATTTATATTTAGTATTTTAAAAATTGGATTAAATCGATCGGTCGGACCGATCGAACTAGAAATTAGAGGGGGTTTTCGATCTTGTTTGATTGTTGAATTGGATATGTTATTGAACTAATGAAAACCAGTCAAAATCGGTAAAACCCGATGAATCAGAGAGATTTTGGTATTGTCTAATTATTGGATCGGATATGCTATTGAACTAGTAGGAATCGGCTAAAACCAGTAAAAATCAGTAAACCGACAGTTTTGAAAAATCGACGGATCAAATACATATTTTTTTTCTCAGACAAAACGGAAGTGTTTTGATAGTTTAAAAAATAAAAAATAAAAAATATATAATTATACTTTATTTAAAATTTATTTGAACAATTTTTTTTTTCAATTAGATTTGATTTAAAATTTATTTAAATTTATATTTGTATTATTTTATTATGAATGATGATTATATTTATAATTTAAATTTAAAGAATAAATATGTGAAATTATGATATTTTGAAGTTATAAAATTTTGTAGGTGTCGTGATATCTTTTGGATATCGAGTCATCCGATTCAATCAATTTAATTAATATATAATTTTATTCGGTCTGTTCAAATGAATTATTCGATTTAATCTAATTTAGTCATTTATTCGATCAATAAATCAATGATCAAATATCTTCACTGATTTAATAACCAATTTAATTTTTAAAACATTGTTTATATTAATAATGTATAACAATTAATTTCAAATAATAGTTATTTTAAAAAGTTTAATATATATATATATATATATATATATATATATATATATATATATATATTACAGTAATTTTATACTATCGTCTAATAAAAATTATTAATATATCAAATTATTTAAATCATTTTAAAATATTAATATAATTTATTAAATGAAGGTGTAAGGTTATGGGTGCATCTCCTATTTTTTTATTTAAAAAAGTGACATTAAAAAATTTGTTTAAAAAGTAATAATTTTTATTTGAAAAAGAATAGTTTAAATAATTAAAGAGGATAACCATCAACCCTCACTCTAATTATGAAATACTTTAAAAAAGTTTTTCTTGGCTATTATTAAAATATGATATATTAATTTACAAAAAGAAAAATGATATATTAATATTATATGACGTTTTTATATTATGTAATATTTGTGAATACATTTTTTTAATTTTAAATTAATTGACACATAATTTAATAATTACCTAAAGTAACTTTATTTTATAAAGATTCATTTTTAAAATAGTTGATTATAGATACTTGAGAATATCTTACATAATAGAGAGTAGGTGATTATTATCTACACTAATAATATTCATTTATGTTCCTAATTTTATAAATATTGTAATATTATGTGTTAAACTCTAACATTAGATGATATGAATTTATCTCTTTAAATTTACCAATATCTCACCATTGGATGGGAGATCTATTTAAAAAATGGCGAGGTATATAAATTATAATTAATAAGAGTTGAAAATAGAATAATAGAGTTACATAATGAGTATTTAATAAAATAAATAATAATATGATTAAGTCAAAATGTTTGAATGGTTTATAAACTTTTAAGAATATTTTGTCATACTTGGTTGAAAAAGTTGGATAATTATTAAAAGAAATTAAAAAAGGTGATCCTTTTTATTTAATGAATAATTAATTCATAAAAAATTCAAATAAATAATATAAAAAATAATTTATAATACAAATGTTTACTTTTCATACAAAATATAAATAAAAATGGGACTTATTAAAATAAGAAAGTTTTACTTTTCTTAAGTATTTAGTTTTTGAATAAAAAATGAAGGCAAGATCGAAATAAAAAGTATATTCAAATTTGAATATCCAAATATAATGACGTGGAGGCTACAATAAATTTTTAAAATCAATAGAACATCAAGAGATTCAATGAATAAAATATTAATATTAAAATGAAAAATAAATAGTTTATGTTAAAAGTTTGAATGATATCTTAAATTTTTTAATACTTGTCTTATACGAGTATATTATACTTTGAATGATTTTATTTATTTATTTACGATTATTAAATGTTTGAAAAAGGTAAATGTTTTTCAATTATTATTTTTTTTTATAAATTACTTTTCAATGTATATTAAACTATTTTCTCTTTTCATTATTAAACCTTATTAAAAAAAATTAGGTGAATTATTTCTGATTCATAAAGTACCTTCCTTATTTAGATTTAAAACTTTCTCATAAAAGAAAAGCTAAAGTTAGTCAAAAGTAAAACTACCATTAGATGTTACTAGTATAAGAAATTAAAAAAATAATCTATTAAAAATACTTAAATTCGAGATGAAAGATGTACTATATTTCTAAATATATTGTTATTGATTATTCGCCATCAAGTTGATAGAGGTAAATTTTTATATTTCATCTGAGGCGAAATATATATGTTCCTCCCAAATAAATGACATTCATATATAGTGAATTTTTTTTGTTTAATAAAAAATATATTTAATTAAGAATTGGACCAATCTCATAAAAGCTTTGGCTAAAGTACAATCACAAGTATTCTTTATCCAAACTTTATCATTGTTGAATTGGTGAGGGTAATGAATTACTAATTCATTGTAAGCATAGATGAGTTTTTGCCTTCTTTGAGTTTCAAATGAAAATAATTTTTCGCCAAATGGAGATAAATAATTAAATCCAAAACTCATTTTAAGTGGGTATGGGTTTCTCCGCCCCATTTCATACCTACATCGAAATCAATTTTGTAGATTGAAATAATTTTTTTTTTTTAATTCAAAATATATCTCGAACTCTAAGAGATATTAGAAATGATAAATTAAATAATTGTGAAAAACTTATAAAATATTTTTTTTAATTATTTTAATAATAAAATATAAGCAAAAATATTAATATACTAATTAAATAATTAATATTATAAATTATCAACCGGACAAATTCAGAGTAAGTACTAGTGTCCCCGTTATCTGCTCCGTATCCATTTTTAAAAAATAGGCAAACCTAAGCTCATATCCAAACTCAATTAAAATGAGTTTTTTGCGTTATATTTGAGGTGAGTTCGAGCGGATACCTATGAGTATGGATTTTGTTGTTGTGTTTAATTCATTGATCGAACTACTAGGACATTGGTCGAATCATATGATTAAATCAATTAAACTATAACTCAGTTGAATGAACCAATCTCTATAACAAAAATTATATAGTTATTAAATTCATCGAAGCATATGACTCGGTCTCTAAAAAAAATCATAATACCTAAATTTCAACATTTTAAAATATCATAATTTCACAAGTTCATTCTTAAATTCAAATTCTAAATATAGTCATCACACAATAAAATGGTACAACATATAAGTTCAAATAAGTTTTGAACATAGTACAATGAAATTAAATAACAAAATAACTGCAATGTCTAATTGAACAAAATCTACCTATATTTTAATGTTAATTTTAAAAAAGAATATCAAAATGACATCATTTTTTCTAAGGAAAAAATCATTTAACGTGTTGTTTTTTTAAAGTTTCTGATTTGTTGGTTTTTATCGATCTTCACTGGTTCA